AAAAAAAAAAAAAAGGCAAAGCTAACTTCTCCGCCCCTTAACTCCCCAGTTTTACATGTAATTCAACATGGGATCTAAAAGGGGAAACGTTGAAACTGAAAATCCTCCCCTGGTTGAATGAAAAATCCTTAAGGAAACCTCAAATTTTTCTCCAGGAAGTGATTAAAAGTTTCCTTTATAAAACTTATTTGGGGAGTTGCAAGTCACTAGTAACATTTTGCTGCATGCGCGCCCTGAGGCTTTTAGCATCAATTTCTAGTTGAAATAATCTGGGTCTCCGAGCTACCCCTACTACCATATCTGACAGTGGACTCAGGTCACTGTCGTGTGTCACAACTAAAGCTACCAGAACGGAACTTAGGCACACTACCCCTTCCCAGCTCCCCAATCTGAAGTTCTGTCTAGTTACTGAAACCTGTGCTCTGAAATTAAACACCAGGGACTGTGGCTTTATAGACCTCTTCCTACCCTCTCCTTTCTTCCTCCTCCTCTCCCTGAATGTGAATGCCTGAGTAAGGTGTCTCATTTAATTATCTGTCCAGATTCCAGGCCACCGTATGGTGTGCTCAGTTTTCACCAGAGGCTGCTAATGCTTCGGTTCTTAAAAAAAACAAAACAACAAAAAAACAAAACCTGCCAGCTAAACACAGATCTTTGGCAATGGGGAGTTTTTAACCGTCCAAAGCTGGAGGTCTTTCTCCTATCCTAAATCTGCGCTCCCTGTCCCGGGTCTGGAACCCTGCTTTGGCTGGGTTTTTGTCTCCTCTTTCCAATCCTGATGTTTTGCATAAAGGTCACCACTCCTAGGTGGGGAGGACTACATATCCCTAGTCTAACAAATTCCATGTATAGATTTAAAGTAGAAATAAAACAGATGAAAAGTCCATTCTGATCCTATTCACCTCACTCCTAGCACAGAAAAAGAAAAAAAAAAGTTAAATGTTTATGAGAGCCTATTTAAAATGCTATATTTGCCATGACCTAAAACAGTCTAATAAAATTTTGACAGGTAACTACGAAAGTTCTAACAACTTTTTTTTTTTAATTGGAGCCACATTTGAACAAGTTGAATGGACTTTTGTATTACTGTATTAAAACTATATTTCTGTCGTTTCATAAAGTTTCTTCCTGTGGCATGCGAAAGGCCCAAAAAGGGGACTGGTATTTGAAAACAGTGAACAATGCTCTTCTGTTCCCCCCCCCTTTCTTGTTACTGTATGTAGTGATTACACAAAAATGTCTGCTTTAGTCAAGATGGCTACAGGAGAGACTGCTGGCTTCTTTTAAAGCTTTTGAAGTCCGCAGCAGTCAGAAATCTCTGATCCCCTAATTATATCATTATCAGGCACATAGTTTCGGTATCTGTGACTTCATGTCAGCCTCAGTCCCTCCCTGTTCTGCCGGCCTTTGATAGGGCCAGGAGGCTCCCCTCTGCAGGCTACCAGGGCTGTTATTTAGGGTTAATTACACCCTTCCTTCCAAAATAAATAAATACTGTAGCACATCATCCTTGCTGGGCTAGCTTATCCTTTAACCTCATGCCTGCTACATGGCAATTACAGAAGTGGGGGGTGGTGCAAAAGCGAAATAACGCTTCCCAGTTAAAAAAAAAAAATTATCTGTTCACACAACAGTAGGTAGAGTTCATGGGAGGGGGGGGGGGGGAGGAAGGGGGGGAGGGTAACGTTGAAATCTAGGAGTTCTGGTTATTTCGACCTGAAAGTGGCCCAACCTACAGGAGAAATAAAGACCCTGACCTGTGCCTCTTTTTTTCTTTTCTTTTCCTTTTTCTTTCTTTCTTTTTTTGGTAGTGTGTAAAATACGAGGTGAGCGGTAAGTGGGACCGCTGACAGAGCCCTACCGTCCCAACCCTGTATTTAGCTACCTCCTGCTGAGACACACGCTGAGGCACCTACTCTCGCAGCACGAGTCACGCGCATGGCTCTGAAGACACACACACAAAGCCACAGTGGCGGACAGGGCCGCACGTGGAGACGTGCGGGGACACCCCCACACTCCAACGCGGTGCCGCCCAGCCTGCCCCCGCCGCGGGGTGCGCAGAGCAACGACCCAACACCTCCACCGCCCCGTTCCCCGGCTGCAGACGTTCGGAAGTTCGCTACGGACGGACTTCCAAAAACATTGTGACAAGCACTTGCCCTGAGGTCTGACTCCACCTCCACGAGCCGCGCCCGGGACACCCGAGGGGGCGGCCGCGAAGCCACCGCCGCGACTTCTAAGAACAGGCAACTTGTCGCGACCTGCGGGCTCCAGCGCGGGAGGAAACCTCGCCCGCCGCTAACAAAGCCTTGGCAGCCGCCTTCAAAGGCCCGCGGCGGCGGCCGCCCGGGACCCCCGCGCGCCCCTCCCAGGGGAGCCCGCGCCCCGGGCCGGCCGGCGGGCACCCACCTTTGGTGAGCAGCACGGCCATGGCGCAGAGTTCGAGCTGCAGCCAGATGAAGATGTAGCTGGAATGGCGATCCATTGACGCCCCCCACGGCCGCGGCGCCCCCGCCGGCTCCCGGAGCCGCGGCGCAACTGCAGCCTACGACTCCCGGAGCGCGCAGTGCATGGGTGCTGCCCGGGGCGGCGGGCGCCGTCAGCAACAGGGCGAGGGGCCCGGCCGCGGCCGGAGCATGGAGCGCGGCTGGAGGGGCGCGGAGGAGCCCAGACGACTTTCGTGACCCGACCCCGCAGCCAGCGGCTCCTCGGCTCCGCTCGGCGCTGCAGTCCCGCGTGAGCTACCGGCCTCGATCCGCGTTGGCCGGGCACTCCGCGAGGGGAGAAGCTCCCCGAGTGCACACAAGAGACCGCCAGCCGCGAGCTCCAGCCTGCGCCCGCCTCAGCCGGCCCGGATCCGCGCCGTAAATAGCGCCCCGCGCCGGGAGCCGGCCAGACACCGCCCCGCCCCCGGCTCCGCCCCGGCAGCGCCAGCGCCGTCCGATTGGCCGCCAGGCTCCAGTCAATCATCCCTGCGGCCAGGAGGCGGGCCCAGAGGGGGGCCAGGAGGGACCTGCCCCGCGGCTCCTGGCGGCGCCGACGTCTGGGGCCGCGGGCTGGGAGGCTCCCGTCTCCCGCGCTCCCCCTCGCGGATGCCTGCGCGTCCGTGACCTTCTGGAGGCGCGGGGTCGATCCCGGCCTCCGGGTCTGTCTCTGGCACTCGACACCGAGACCCTCACAACTCAGCCTTGGGCCGGCTTCTTTTTTGTTGCCCCCGAAACGCGCGAGAGACCGCGCGGCCGCCTGCGAAAGCCCTCCCGGGCCACGCTGCGCGCTTTAGGAACCCCAGGGACAAGTGGCGGTCCCCCGGCGTGCGCCGACGGCCAAGGCGCCCCTGCCCAACCCTCCTGGCTTGCGTGTGGCCAAGGAGGGGGTTCCGTCGGGAGCCCGGAAGGGGGGCGGCCGGGCGCTAGGGTCTGCTTTCTGCCTTCCCCCAGCCGCCCTCCCTCTCAGCGCATCCGCCTCGAGCCGCCTGCCCTGTGATCAATAAAGCCCAGACAGACAGACTGTTGATCAGTGGGAGCCGCTAAGTTCTCCTGGGTAGACAGGGGACGAGTAGCCGGCTAGAGACACTTAACGAAAATTAGCAAATCCAAAAGCACCCGGCGCCAGCGAGACGACACTGGCCGAGACTGACACTCAATTAACCACCCCCCAAACAATCGCAGGCAAACACACCGGCTGACTCTGATCAATATCAGTCCCGCAGTGATCTCCTTTCTGAGATACTAATTCATTTATTAGGACTTGCAGGGCTGTGGGCCCCAACGTACCCAAAGGCGTTCCTGGAGGTTGTGCTGTTTGTTTGTTTGGTTTGTTTTTGTTGGTTTGTTTTGTTTTGGTTTGGTTTTTAGGAGGTGAAATTCAACTTAAAACTCTTGATCCGAGGGAATGCTCTTGTATCCCTTCCTCCCATAACCTGAGATTAACAAGTCAACCATTTGCGAAATTTCCTTTTAGGATCAGCCAACATTTCCCTACCTGATAAAAATGTCAAGGCAGCAGGGGGAGGGGGAGGAGGAAAAAAGCATTTAATTCTAAAGTGGGAGATGTAAAGTCAAACCCTTTAGGACTATTGTACAGAAATGACCTTTAAGACTAAGAAAAAAATGTACATGTTTGGAGGACCGAAAATCAAGGTGAACCTCGTAAATTAAACTTATTGAAAGTTCACAGAGGATACAGGATACAGTTAATGAAATTGCCATTAAAAACTAATGTTTATATGCAGAAAAAATAAAATAATTTCCTAAGTTGATGCGCTGTCCATTACTTCACTAGATCAAAATTGCATCTAAAAAAGATGGGAGAAGTTTTAGGGGGAAATTACCCTGGCTGGAGCACCAGGTAACCTGCAGGCATTTCTCAAATGGTGGGTTGACCCTTGCTCCTGAGGAGGAGTCTGATTAGAACTTCCTGACATCTGCTTCTTTGACAAGTTAACAGTTCTAAGGGGTTCACGAGACAGTACTTTTCACCTAAGGACACACTCTTTTTTAACTCTAGAAGAGTCCTTCATTAGCTAAAAGGAAGCTTTTACAGTATATTCATTCAACTATCTTGAAGCGCCCACTATAGGCCAGGCACAGTGTTTGGGGTTATAAAGATGTCAGAACCTAAACAGTAAATCACTAACAATGGAGTGGGGCGATGATAGAGATTTATGTGCACAATGTTATGCTGCATAAAGAAAGAAGAGATAACTAGACAGGAAGGTAAAGAAGTCCACGAGGTCTGCTGGAAGCAGTGACATCAGGCATGACTCCTAAAGAACAAAGAGAGTTGCAAGGAGACCATTACAAGCATAGAGGACCATGGGAACTTAGGCATGAAATTTATTGATTGCATTGGGGGACATAGGTGGTAAGTAGGGGATAGGGAGTTGGGACTGCGAGCAATTCTTTGTTGTTGGAGCATAAAATGTGAAGCAAGGAGTGGGCAGAGATGCACCAGGAAATAACTAGATTTACCTGTAATGCAAATAAATACTTGTTTAATGGAAGGCAGTCTGGGGGATGTGTTGATGAAAGTTCTATTGTAGTACAGAACACTTTCTGAGTGCCTTTCAAAGAATATCCGATTTCTCTGTAGTGGGCATTGGCAGCCAGACCAGGGGCCTCTGTCCCTCTAGCCATAGGTAGTCACATGATCCCAGTTGGGCCAATTAAGTTCTCTCTCCTCCATCTTTGGCCAGAGATGCTGGTCAATCTGTAGAGGCCAATTCACAGGAGACATACAAATTCCGAATCCACCTGTGTGCAAAGAAAGAGAAAAATGACAAAGATGTAAGTCCAAATGGATTCACAGTCACATGGTGTCACTTCGGGTCCTTAGGTTCCATATTAAGGCTAACTCAGGCACCTTGGTAAGTCCCCTTCCCCCCTTTTTAAAAAAAATTATTTATTTTTGAGGGAGAGAGAGAGACAGAGTGAGGTGGGGGAGGAGCAGAGAGAGAGGGAGACACAGAATCCGAAGCAGGCTCCAGGCTCTAAACTATCAGCACAGAGCTCGACAAGGGGCTTAAACCCACAAGCAGTGAGATCATCACCTGAGTCAGATGCCTAACTGACTGAGCCACCCAGGTGCCCCTGTAAGTTCCCCTTTTTACTTAAGGTTCTTTTACTTCAACCCAAAGGGTGTGAACTACGATACTTGTATTTTATTGAATTCATTGTGACTTTCATCATTCCAGGATATCTACTTTTTTTGTTTCAAACACAGAGTAAGAATGTATGATCCATTCTTCAGACAATGATTTCAGCTCTTTTGTTTTTATTATTAGTTTAATGGGCAGGCTTTTTAAATGGCCAGAAATTAGTTTTAAGAAAAACAAGTCTGCGCTTTATCTAATGGTTTTGGAGCAGACATGGACTTTTCAACTAAGTGAACAAGAGTGTTTGAATCAATGTGGAAAGTAAAAATTATTTTATGGATAATATGTCAATTATAAGGCCATATTCATAGTTGAGAGAATAGGTAACAATTGTAATTCAATTTAAGACTCAAGCAAATTGCTTCTTTATAGAATTTTACTTGCGTCTTATGAATAATTCAGTTATTACTTTCCTACACATAGGTCGGTAAGGAGAAGAGAAAATAGTAAAAGCTAATGTCTTTTGGAAATTTAAATTAAGAAATGAACTCAGTGACCAAAATTCTTTTCACTCTTTTGAAGGGAATTACGAAAATATAAGCTGGAATCAGCTATGCATGCCTAAGAACAGAAAGCTGATTCTAGACCTAACAATAATATTAAAAGTTATAATAGTTTACTATTATTACCTTCAAAGAGTGTTCTAGATACGTCTTATCCACAGACATATGGATATGTATTAGGTACCTTATATATATTATATATAAGTATATAATCACAACGTGCCGCTATGGCACATTTGTATGGTAGTTCTACACCACAGAATAACTTTCTAAATTTCATTTTTTCTATAAATAGTAAAAAAAAAAAAAAGGGTGGTGTAGGTTCAACCCGTTTTGTTAACACAGCTATAAATACCAGTCTCTGCTTACTCAAATAATGCCATTGTTTTCCAAGGTTATATGTGATCCCCATTTTCAGTAATGACTCTCTCTTCACAATGCAGATGAAAAATAACTCTTGGTACATTTTGTTCGGAGCGAAACCGTTGTGTTCATGTCCCTGGCTAGCATACAAACAACTCTTACAGTCTAGGGATAGAATCTAACATTTCTTCTACCAACTAACAATCCACAGAGGTTAGATAACACTTCGAATTCCCAGTAGCAGCTTTTTAAAAAAGTCATTTGTTCTCAGTAGAAGTTAGGAGTTCAGAACTCAAGTTTACTTTCTTTGGAATGGAGTCAAAGGTGAGTGATTAGCCCAGCCTACAGGAATGGCTGTCTAGTGAAGTGTTTTTGTTTTCGTTTTTTTGCTTTTTTTTCCCCCTTTTTTCCGAAATGAACTGACTGCAGAGTCCAGGAGGTAGTGTGATAGAAAAAAGACTTGAGGCCACATTCTGAAATGCCCGTCT